GAGCAGGTGGGCGGGGCCGGGACCTGAGCCTGGACGCCGAGCTCCTGGGCAGGGAGGGCTCCCGGAGGGAGAGGTGGCGTCTTGGGTGGTGCTTCGGTGCACCCAGGCTCTGGCCAAGTATTTATCCGGGGTGGCCTGGAGTAGACTGCAAAGCAAAGACTGAGGAAAGGGAGTGAGGCGCAAGGTGGGAGAATCGGAACCTTACTCGCAAAAATGCCAGCGTTATTCCAAGTCCCTATAGCCTCACTAAAGGGTCTCCAGCATCTAGTGAGGCCGGGGCTGCCCTTCCTTGCCAGTCACTGGGCAAAGTTCTGCTCCGCAAGGGTCACTCAAAGCTCCTATGACATTTCTGAAATGCAAACCTAATCGTAGGTCTCCAGAATTTTAAAACCTCTTCCTTGCCCTCGGGGTAAAATTTCTACCAGATCACCACGCCCCTAGCCAAAGGAAACCCGGTGGCCTCCCGGCCTTTGCAGACCCTTTACCTGGGCCAGAGCGCCTAAGCACTCTATCAGGCCCACTGCCTACAGTCTGCTTTTTTCCCTCTGAACTATGGGTGTGTTGAGGTCCAAGCAGCCCTTCATTTCATCCCAGTATCCCCTTGGGTGCTGAAAAACACTCATAGAGGACCACTGGCCCACTGAGACTTTAACCCTGGCGCCACCAAGGAGGCCCAAATTGCGATCATTATTTACTACTTACCAGCCACTGTTTTGTATACACTGTAGTTTAACTAACTTATCCTCACAGCGACTCTATTAAGTCACCTCCCCAAGTGACACTGCTCGTAAAAGGCAAAGAAGGGATTCAAACCTGGGCTGTGTAGTTCTAGAATCAACCACAGTACTAGCACCAGTTGTTTTTCTAAAAGAAACAGGGCCCTCCCTGGTGGCGCAACGGGTTAGTGCTCAGCTCTATGAAGCAGGCCCCAGTGGCTTCAGCATGATTTCTATCCCCAGCGAGGGAGGTGACCCAACATGGCACAGCAGACCTCTCCTGTCTTGCCCAGCAGTGTGCTTTGTCAGTCTGCCTGTTGTTCCCGCTCTGTCTCTGGTGAACCCACTCACCTCCCTGTACCTCTGCCCTGTACCCCAGTTCTGTATGCATAAACAAAAATAGTTAAAAAATAAAAAACAGCAGCTTCCAAACACAGCCCTTCATGCCACGCCCCACCAAGACTGACTTGAAACCTCACAGAACCAGCTTCAGCCTCTCCCAAAAGTGGATATTTAAACTAGCCACTGTGGAGTTTCCAGTTCAACATTAATGAGATCATCTGCATGAAAACAACCCCTATTTTCCCCTAATGAAATGTGGACTTGCCTGAATCTTTCCTTTCTTTTGCTAATAACCTTATTCCATCCTTAAGTTGATATCCTTAGGTTACATTTATATTTTTATGCTGAAACAAAAATGTATTGTTATTGTGGTAAACTTGCTTTATAACACTATGTGTTTTAGGAGTTCAGGGTCATATCTTTGCAAATGTGAGTTCCCACACCACACCCACCAAAGTACCAGTTACCCTCTGCCACCATCTTTTGGGCCTCCTCCATCACCTACTCTCTGATTATAAGAACCTTCCATTCTGGGGGCATCCTTAGAATGCTCAGGGGTTAAAGACAGCACTATCAAGTCACTACCAATCACTGCAGCAAGAGTTCAATCCCCAGCCCGGGAGCTGACCCACATTGCACAGCAGACCTTTCCTGTCTTGCCCGCTGCTCCTCTCAACAGTGTATTTCAGTTCACCTGCACGTTCTACACCTGCATTTTGTCTTTAGTGAATCCTCTCACTGCCCCCCCACCTCTGGCCTGTACCCCACCTTGTATGCATAAATCTTGAAAAGAAAAAAAAAGAAAGAACTTTCCATTCTGGAAAAATTCTTGCTGCACTTTTTCCAGAATTGGGATGCCCAATTCTTGAATCTAATAATCATTTTCGATTTTTAAAATTAATTCCATTGAATATTTGCTATTTGGTAGTACTTTGTAGGGTGGTTGTAAAATGAAATTAGTCAAAGTGTACAAAGCACTGAGAACAACTCCTGGAGCATAATATATTACTTTTAGCTATTATTGTGACCCATTAGCTGCCCTCGCTGGTCCTCATGTAACAGGGTGGTCCCCAGGTAAAGGGGAAGTTCCAGGTTCCCTGCCCCACCCAGAAGGAGGGTGGAGCTGAGCAGAGAAGAGAAGGAATCATAGGAAGAAGGAAGCAGGATGGAGAGCCAGAAGGAGACCTGAGGAAGCCACATGGAGCAGCGAGACATGTGAAGAAACTGTGTTATTTCCTGGCCCTGTGCTGGTTGAAAAAGATGTGGGTGAGAGACCCGTGGGAGGTTGACTATGACAGCAATTATCTTAATTTCGATTTTGCTCTTTTCCTCCCAGACTTGTCTGGCCATTTCTGACCCTTTCCTCTGAGCCCCAGACGGAAGTTACTTTAGGCTTGAGGCCGGCTTTCAGGTCTTGCTTTGGGCCAATCCCTTTTGGGTGGACTTTTACCCATGAGGGGATGGGTCACTTTGGGGGTTTGATTTAGAAATTATATTCTTTGTCTTTTCTGTTTTGCACACACATTGTATTAATGTTCCTTTCCATTAAAGCTCTTTTGTCTTGATGTGGCAGATGGCAGAATCTATTCAGAGCAGGCAGGTTTAGGGGTTCAGTAGTGCCCCTCTCCCTGCCCTGTAACACTCAGATCCAGGAAGCTGCCCTGCACACAGCATACCTCTCACATGGATTACCGGTCCCATTTGAGGAGAATGACAGGCCTGGCTGTTTAGCAGGCATTTGCGAGAGGCTGCTGAAGAGCCCCTGAACTGGGGCCAGCCCCCAGAGAGGGTCAAGTCAGTGCTGCAAGGCAGGCAGCAGGGAGAGCACCCCAGGACCTGAATCTGACCATTTCCACAATATGCCTCCTCCAGGTGTCATCCTGCCAACGGAGGGCTCCCAGCACACCGGTACAGCCAGTACAGCCACACCGGTGCAGCCACACCTGCAGCCCCTGGCTCCAGGACTGACAGGACACAGACTGCACTCTGGGGGGAAACTTCCTGGACATGCCCTCACCAGATAGGCAGGCACTGGCCATGTGGTCATTTCACAATCTACCCTACCGCAGGCTTCAGACCAAGGGGGTTGTCTTGGAAAAACAAAGGTCAAACCTGCTGATGAAAACGCTCCAACATTTTTGTGTCCCACAACAGGCTGGACACTGATGACGAATACATGATAAGTAGGTCACATGGCTCTTCACTGAGCTTCTTCCCAAGCACCCTCCTTATCCTGCTCCCACCATCACACATTCGGCATCCACAGTTTTGATGCTCTCTCAAGAGCAGGGACGCTCCTA